TCTTTTTTGTTTTCCTCCTTGCGAAGAAGTTTAGACAAAGAAAAGTTGGCGTTTATGCTGCATAGTGATTTCCTACTTTAGCAGTAGTATAACAAATGCATTGAACATATAAATTGCATAATGCTTTCTCCCTAGAAATAGTGTAAAAAATTATCTCCGCTTTGCAGGTTTATGTAGATACACTAGTGAATAAAGCATATGAAAATTGGAATCAAGTTGTAGAGTACGATGGGAGCTCACTTTTGAGCTCTAAGAAGCCTAAGAAGTCCAATGCATCCCGAAATGACTTTCAAGGAGGTCATCTTGATCTTTCTAATACTCATGTGTCAGTGCCCCGCATGCCAGTATCAGTTCAGCCTCAGCAGCCTATCGTGGATTCAGGACTCTCAGTTGCAGGTAACCACGCTTGTATCATTGTAATTAACCTTTCGGATGGTAGCATGTATTATAAAGCTTAATATATGACATGGCACGCAAATGTTAATATTTAAAAATTAAGACGGGAACCATACATAGAATAAAAATGACTATTTTTTACCTTATAAAACAATTGAACAGACGCTCTAGTTTACATACATATTTAAGCAATGAGGAAATAAAAGACCATTTAATGATAGTGTTAATTCGAATTTATTAGTGATGTTTGTTAAAAAAAAATTAATGAAATAATCTCTTACATCAAAAGGTTTGTGAAGAAAATGTGAAAACATGTGTCTATGCTTTACATAATTACTGGCCTAGAATAATAAGTATATTTTCCGATGTTCAAAAACTTGATACCAACTAGGGGGCTTTTTGCAATACCAACTTTTTATATCCCTGCACTCTTGTTCTTATTCTTTGTTTATAAGCTGCACCCCTGTTCTTATTCTTTGGTGGAATACATTATTTTGGATCTTCCATTTTGGACATGAGTTATTTTCACTGGTATGTTAGTTTTCTGCTCCTAGGAGAAATATTTGGGTCTAGAAGGCTGGGATTAAGGGTTTGGGGGCTTGACTCATTCTAATGCCTCGTGGTTCCGTACTTCTAAACTCTTTTGTAACTATCCTTTAGCCTAATCAGCAAAAGTTGTGGTCATTTTTCCAAGTTTAGTTGCTCCTCATTGGCCAGGTCTTTTTCTCTTTTCTTTTCATTTTGACTCTTTTCTGTAAGTTTATTTTGCTTAATGAAACTAGTTTGTTCATCAAGAGTATCATATATTATAATGATGATAATAATATCTAGTTTCACATCCAAATAATAGACCTGAGATGTGTAAGATTTGGGAACAAATTTATATACATACAAAATTTCTCGAAACTCTTCACTAATCGGCCTTACCTCTCTTCATGAGTAGTGGATCAACTATTAAGTAATTGAGTTACTATGTCAAACTATAGTCTACAATATTGGTGAAAGAGGCAATGAACTTGTGATCTTTTCGTTTTCACAGGATTAAGTTTGTTGTATAATGGTATAAAAATATTTTATTCTCTAAGCAGGTGGAGGGATCATTTTATGCTGTTGTATCGTAGATTTGAGATTCCCCTTCACTGCTCTGCTCCCCTCACAAATTTCTGTCTCTGTGACTTTGTGATAGCCTTTGGTTTCATATATTGGAATACCCCACACTTTCTGTTACCCTTTAGGGGAAAAAAAACTACTAACATTAATTATGAATTTTCCTGGTTGTAGTTCACAAATAATTGCGATGTGTCACATTTTCTGAGGACTGACTCATCTATTAGAACTGATGACTGCTGTTGTTTGGCTGACTATATTTTGTTTTATTTTCTGTATTTACATTTGGCAATTCAGGGTATAATGATAATACAGCCACAAGATATTCAACCCAGCCTCAGTTTTTGAATTCAACTTCTCGACCCCAATTTGACAACTCCTCATTTACTCCAAATGAGTTGCTCGGCAATTCTAACCACGTTCATGTCACAAGAAACGACCCTAGTACTTTTGGTTTGGCTCTTGGTCCTCCGCAAGCATCGTCATCTTCAGGTTTTCAGCCGCTTGGTTCTTCTATTCAGGAATCTAATATGAATCCATTTGACTGGTCAAACAATAGAGACAAGGTAGTGGATGACTTCTTTTCAGAGGATGAGATTCGTATGAGAAGTCACGAGATGCTGGAAAATGAAGATATGCAACAATTGTTGCGAATGTTTAGCATGGGTGGCCATTCAACTGTTAACGTCCATGATGAGAGTTTTTCATTCCCATCATTCATGCCTTCACCAATGCCAAATTTTGATGATCGAAACCGTCCTGGAAAAGCTGTGGTAGGTTGGTTGAAGATCAAAGCTGCAATGAGGTGGGGCTTCTTCATCAGGAAGAAAGCAGCCGAGAGACGTGCACAGATTGTCGAGTTGGATGAGGAATAGAAGTTGTTTAGTCATGGGTGCTGTTCAGGCTGTTATTTGAGCTTTCCTCTCTCACTGCATCATATTCTGTAGGTCTTCAGAGAATTCTTCAGGTGACAACTCCTGCTCTTTGAGACTCGTTGGATCAATTCGAAAGGATATCATTTGTATCTGTATAACATATTAACAGCGGAAGCTACTTTTGTACAGTGACTTGTTCCTGTTTGCTAGTGTCTGTATTTAAGATGTTTTATTGTCATCAATCTACCTCTGGTAGGCCAAAAACATGAATGGGTTGGTCGGTGACGGTAATTTCTTATTTCATTTGCCCTTTCATAATGTTGTTTGAATGATTAGGATCAAGGATTCCCTACAGTTTTCTTTTGCTTTGATATGTTTCGAATAACTGTATGAGAAATGATTCAGTGACTAATGAATAATCCATGTGATTTTTAGTTCGTTGTTAATACATATAAATATTTTGTTCCGATTATTATTCACATTTGTTTTGGCATCTGTTTGAAGTTCAATCATTTGTAGCCCTTCTGCTGTCTGAAGTTCAATCATATCAATGTTTCCATGTTACATAGGATGAAATTATATTTTTAGCTTTACACAATCACCATGCTTAATCACGAACAAATAAACAAGCAGACCTACATAATAGGCAGTGACAGTGCCAGCGGAATTGCCAGCAACAAGCTTGAGTTGCATATCAATCTTTCCAAACAAGTACTCGTTCTGGGATTGGAAGCCGGAGCCTGAGGCCTTGTCGAGAGACAGTGTGAGAAGTTGGGCGTTGTTGAGAATTTTGGCTCGACCATCTCTCCAAGTTATTTGAAAATCTTGGTTGAAGTTAGCTGCAGAGAGAGCAATTAGAGAGCGCGGAGAAAAGGAGAAGGAGAAGAGTGTTGGAAGCCATTTTTGTTGGTGAGAGAGGGAAATAATGAATGAGTGGCAATGGGATTCCGAGTGCAATTTAAGGTGTGTTGAAATGCAAAAACAGAGGAAGGGTCCTACGAAACTCCATGAAACTTAGCCGTAGAGAGAGCTCAAGTCCTTATTTTGCGTTCGCGCAATGGGAAAGGCGGAAGGGAAGAGGAAGGTGGTGCGGTAGGGCCAGGGTCGGGATTTGGGTTTGGTGAATGTAGGCCCGTCTTGCGGGGAATACTTCTTCCTACTCTCCTAGCCCACGTTGTTCAGGGAATGAGCTAGCTTCAAACGATTCTGACGTAGACCTCGGTTAGGAGACTGAGTCCTCTTCAGACAGGGCCGGACTCCGACTCCTTTCTTTGGGGAGAATTTGTGATCAAGGCTCCTCAACCATATTAACTCTAAACATTGAAGAAAAAAACCCTCTACAACTATAAGTCAAGCTTCTTCGCGCCCTCCCCTCTACAATTATAAGTCAAGCTGCTTCGTTCCTCGAGAACCGCTCACCCCTTCACAGTAAAGGACTTATGCTACCCCACCTCAAAATTATGTGAAAATAAAATTTTGGATCCTCTCAAAATTCATTAGGTCGTGCACATGCCTAAATAGCACGACTTGAGTTGGCTCCAGTCAAACCGCTTGACCTAGTAGCCTCAACCTTTTTACTTTACACCAAATTTTATTCTCGATTCTATATTAACTGTCATTCGGCCTCTAGTTCTCTTTTATTACTTTTGAACTTAGGGTCAAAAATCAGCCCCAACAAGTGTCATTAGTCCATGAAGGCTCGAAAGGATTAGAAATAAGCATAAAAAGAAAACATATAAGAAATAATAAAAAGGAGATAATTGGGTGTCAGCAATGGGAGGACAGCTGGTTGAAGAATATGAACATAAACTAAAAGAGTGAAAGTTAATTGGTTGAATTTCCCAGTTTCACTCAAAAAGCTCCACCGACGGCGACCGCTTCATCGTATCATTGAACTGCGAACCTCGCCTTCCTCCTTATCTTCTTACTTCCCGTCCCATGCATCTCCTTTCAATTCAATTTGACACTCCAATCATCATTAATGGAGTGGAGTGTCGGTCCTCGGCTCCACCCCCCACACACACTTTCAATTCAATTTGACGCCATTATCTATTACACCAACCAACCGCCCCTCTAAACCGAAGTTGTCCTTCTCAACTTCGTTACCTTTTTGGTTCTTTCCCGACTTATTATTGTTGTACATAAACTAAGAGTCAGATTTTAGTGGAACCATTAAACTACACAATCCAATACACATCAAATTTCTATTAGATTAGTTGTGGATTAGACTGTGTATTTGCGTGTGTGAGGGAGCAGGGAATGGATGAGGAATTGGGAGTAGCCACCTTCGGTTCATAATCAACGTCGTCTCTGTGTTGGGTATATTATTTATGGCTGTATATGTGGACCTCAAACCAAGGCTTGCTGACCTTTGTTCATCAAATGATCTTCTGCTACAGATCATGATGAGATGCCTGGATACAAAGACAAAACACCCCACCATATTCACGCACTTCAATAATTCATTATATATGTTTATTATAACATTCTCTATGTGAATTACTCTTTATTTAAAGAGTACTTTTTCAAGTTCTTTTTTCCAAGAAGAATCTAATTTTATCTTTGATGAACTCCAACTGAGTCCTCAACATAGACCTTATAATTTATATTATAATGAAAAGATCAAACTCGCAATTATTGTTCTTTTCTTCCTTATTTTGGCGAAATGGGAGTAAAAAGATGCAGAAACAACAAAAAAACAGAGATCACATAACCATGCAAAACCAGACATATATCTTATTGTATATACAATACGATATGATGCTTAGCTAAATTTTGTACGGCGGCCAAAGCAAATATGCCAATTTAGGCGGCAGTGTTGAGGGTACACTCAGGAGGGTAGCCTTGAGGGAATCTTTCGGCGTCCGTGCAGTAATTGTAAATCATGTAATTCCTCTGTACCCATTTCAGCCTCTGTTGTCGAGTATTGTCCAGATTTTCCGACAGCCATCCTCCGCCTGCAGAGTGGGCGCCAGAGGAGCACGACGACACCCCCTCCGACCAAACACACACGTCCGCTTTGAAGTTCCTGTACGACGAAACGAAGGGAGCTTGGGACCAATCTGTCTTCACAAGCCCTCCTCTTGTGGCCCAGTCGTCCGCGTTCCACAGGCTCGAGTACAGTCTCATGGGTTGCTTTGTCGGGAACAGAACGCCTGAGGATTCCTGGTTCTTGAACTCTCTGATGGGCGTCCCGTCCACCGAGAATCTGGGAAGACAAAATCAATTCCAGCTTATTAATTTCACGTCGTATTCAAAATTTAAAAATTGGGTTTTTTTTTGGTTGTCGGTCTGATCAATTCTTACATGATTCCCTCTGGGTTCCAGAGGATTGAGTAGGTGTGGAAGTCGGCAGTGGGATCGAACCATAGATGAAATTGTTGCTCTCTGTCTCCTTTGCCTTGTGTATAAACATTAGTATGAAGTGTATAAGGATCACCGGTGAGATTCCCCAAGAATTCAAAGTCTATCTCGTCCCATGTCGAGCCTTCGGATTTGAGCTACAAAAAACGTAATTAATTAGAGACAGAGTATGTGCATGAAAATATATAGGAAGTGATGTTAATTACATAGTAAGTGGTGACAGTGCCAGCGGAGTTTCCAGGCACAAGCTTAAGCTGCATATCAATTTTAGCAAAGAGGTAAACATTGTTGGAGCGAAAGCCAGAGCCAGAGTCTCTGTCCAAAGAGAGAGTAAGAAGGTCGCCGTTATCAAGAATATTGGCACGGTCATTGCCCCATGTGATCTCAAAATCCTGGTAAAAGTTGCCACCGAAAACAGAGGAAACAAAGAGGAGCAGAGATGAGAAAGCTAAGGCAGTGGCAGCAGAAGCAGAAGCAGCCATAGGGTTCGTTTATAATTGGGAAAGAAAGCAAAGGAAATGAAGGGCTAAGTGGTCGTGGTGAGCGTGGGGGGAATTGAATTAATTTATACAAGCGAGGAGATAAGAAGGGGATGGGATTGCGTGTATATGATGCCCAACTTGTGGGGGCTGGAGCTGGGAAGTAAGAGCTGGACACAGATGGCATCGAGAGTGGGCGTGCATGGATTTTCATTTTTTGGATTCTAACATCTCTACATGCCACACAACAACTCACACCCCCCAACCTCTTCACTCAATTTCATCGCACAATCTTCAACTTTACCAGTCTTCTAAAAAGTTTCCAAACAATTTTGAGTATAACCTCTGTTTGTTTCTGTTTTTTCTTATATCACTCTAAGTTCCGAGTGATTTAATGATTATTCACTTCATTAGTCAATTTGGGACTCTTTATTTATCTTCCTATAATTTATCTTTTCTTAAAAAAATATAAGATAGATATTTTTTTCTCAGGAAAGCCCCACTTACCTTCATGCTCTAGCCTTCACAGACACAAAACGCACGAGCCAAATTAGAAATTTTTTTTTTTTCTTTTGAAGAAACATCCGTACTCCAATCAGAATAACACGACATATATGAAAGAAGAGCGTATGGAAAATATCTTTCAATTGTCCAAACCTACTCGAACTTAGATGTCACTCGACAAAATAATACACATTATTGTTATTATTAGCGAAGAAATTGGAGTGAGTGATATCTACCTTTCATTGGTTGTGAGTACTTATTGCCATTTGGCCCCCAAAAAGTCCCTTTCCTTTTTCTTTTCCCTTCCTACGCTTACCTACTTGCAAGCTGGCTTTGCTCTTTTGGTAGTCTTCCATTCATTAACTACTTTATTTATTTGATAAGATGTCAAATTCGCAACCGATATTATTTGTTTTGATCACGCATTATCGTCTACTAGGGAGAGATTCCACATCTTTATCAGAAATGTTTCGTTTCCCTCTCCAACTAATATAAGATCTCACAATCCACTCCATTGGAGGCCAGCATTCTCACTGACACACCATCCAGTGTCTGACTCTAATATCATTTGTAACAACAGAAACACACTGCTAGCAGATATTTTACCCGTTTTGACCCGTTACGTATCGATGTAACCTCACGATATTAGACAAGCGCATCCTTGTCTATATGCTTGGGATTGATGTAAACTAATAATATCAATTAGTTCATAGACAAAACTACGCTTTTATTTAATTAAAATTTAAATACAAGTAAATTTAATAATTAAAATATTAAATACAATGGTAAGAAAAGCACCCGGATATGGAATACATAACAAAAGTACATAGTTGTAAATGAGAACTTAGAACAATTAGGTCAAAATGGAATTAGTGTTAGGAGGAAATAAACAATAATTAAGTTTAAAAATAGTTAGTATGAAAGTTGGATAGGAGTTGACGCAAGGGATAAGGATAAGCATAAGGATTAAACAATAAAATCATATAATAATTAAAAATGAAAGAACCAAAAAAAGAGCAGTTTGAATGCATATTAATAATTGAAAATTTTATGTGCAGCAGGCAGTCAGATAATCCTGTAGAAGCTACTACAGACACAGCCCCATTCCCTATTCCACCTATTAATGTTAATGTTGAACAGAAGACAAGGACATTCTTAATTTCCCCAATGAGGAAGAAAAACACAGGCTCCAAATCCGGACGTGGGTTGGAAAGCCAAAACCTGGGAATTTGCCAGATGGTGCTCAATTTTGGGGTACACCAGCAGCTGCCACTGCCACTGCCACTGCCACTGCCCCCAGTTTTTGTCTGTTTAATCATGTTTCAAAATGAAAACCCATTACGAATCAATGGTTTTGACCTTTCTTTCTTTGCTTTGTTCTTATGCCATCCAGCTGTGTTTTCCCACTTTTTTACCCCCAACACACCCCATTTTTCCATTTCATGGCCCTCTTCATCAACCCTATAAAGATGGCCCTCTTCATCAATAACCCATATTCATTCATTAAATTCCTTAAAAATGGCCTTCTTTTCTTATTCAAACAATTACTCTATGCTACTTTTGATCGTTCTGCTTCCCTGTCTGCTGGGGTTTGAGAAAATGGCTGAAGCTGGAAACTTCTACCAAGACATGGACCTGACGTGGGGAGATGGTCGAGGAAAGATCTTGGAGAATGGAAATCTGCTGACTCTCTCCCTTGACAAAGCTTCTGGGTCAGGCTTCCAGTCCAAGAAACAATATCTCAATGGTAGATTTGATATGAAAATCAAGCTCGTCCCTGCCAACTCAGCAGGCACCGTAACAGCCTATTATGTATCCACATTACTAATATGCTATGCTGTTTACATTACATTAATTTGATGCCTATGTTTTAAACTAAAGTTATTGCCTTCATATTATTATAGTTGCGTTCACAAGGTTCGTCATGGGATGAGATAGACTTCGAGTTCCTTGGGAACTTGAGTGGCCAACCTTATATTGTACACACCAATATCTATATACAAGGACAAGGTAATAGGGAGCAGCAATTCTATCTCTGGTTTGATCCAACGGCTGACTTCCACACCTACTCCTTCCTCTGGAATTCTGCTCGCATTCTGTAAGTACCATAATTGTATGATATGTTTTGAACATAAGTTCTCATGATTTTGCTTTTAGGGCTCGTATTAATAAGAATGTACTTATAAACTTATAATCCACCCTTAATTCCAACCATTCTCCACATATATATTATATGATTGAAAAAAAAAAAAAGAAAAAAGTTTAGGACTTAATTGAAATGTGTGGCGTGGGGTTAGGTTCTATGTGGATGGGAGGCCAATAAGGGAGTACAAGAACATGGAATCCAATGGGGTGCCATATCCAAAGAAACAGGCGATGAGATTATACGCGAGTTTATGGAATGCGGACGATTGGGCGACAAGAGGAGGGCTGGTGAAAACGGACTGGACCAAGGCCCCCTTCACGGCTGCCTTCAGAAGCTACAATGCCAATGGATGCGTGTGGACCAATGCAGCGTCGTGGTGCTGCCAGAACTCGGCGCCATGGATGTCGGAGGCGCTTGATGCCGGCAACCAGAAAGTGCTGCGATGGGTTCAGAAGAAGTATATGATTTATAATTATTGCGCCGATAGGAAAAGATTCCCTCAAGGCCTTCCTCGGGAGTGCACTGTTCCGGCCACCAACCCATAGAATATGCAAGATTATGAACAGCTTCAAAATTAGTTTTACGCGTTTTTTATCTGGAAAATTGATTCTTTTGATTTCTCTACCTCTCCCATTTACTCTCCTTTCATGTTTGTACTTCATTTGAAGTTATTTAATAAATAAATAAATAAATAATATTTAATAGAAATGTTTAACATTTTGTTTTCAAATTTGTTGCTAAAGAGCCGAAAAAACATATGTAGGCATAAAAAATGTTATATAAATAAGATTGAATGCTACGAAGTTTTATATAAAATATAAAATTGATTTAAAATAAAAACAACATAAGCATTAAATTAGGAGATTAAAATAGAAACCATGAACACGCGTGACACTATCAATACAACCAAAAATTACTCAACTCCACTAACAATTATAATTTATTTCCTTTTAATTAAAAACGTACATTTTCCCATAATATGGATACCACATATTTTCGAATTTAATTATTACTAATTTTTAAGATCTATGGATCATCCTTACACTCATGTTTGTTGAATTTATGGGAATCCAGCATTTTCAAACAAATACGAAATTTTAAAGCTGTAAAAAAAAATGCTCTATAAAAGTTGAGATGGTAGTATCTACGTTCTAATAATAACACTTTTTTTATCAGCAGACTTTTGCTATTGTGCACCATTTACTTCCAACCTTGAGTAAGTCAAGCCAATTTGGAATCATGTCTTCTAGACAATGTTCAAGCCTTCTAGTCTCATTTTGAGGCAGATTTAAAAAATGGGGTAAAGGGAGTTTGAAAACAAGGTTGAAAGAAAGATTGAAAGTTATCTTATATGACTTAAGCAAAAGGCAACACAACTACTTAAATAACATATAATTTTTCGGGCCGAGAGAATTCGACAATATCTAACTTTTGAGACGATTCAGGTCTGGTAGACGTAGATGTGATTTTGCAAAACAGTCATATAAAATCTAGGTGGGAAGAGCTGAGAAATGATCGCATCCAATTATAGTACATTCTAAACTCAAATATTTGCAAAATAGAATATGAAATTATACATCGTGAAAGTAAAAAGAAAAAAAAATAATAATAAAGTGATATAAAATAAGAATATTAGCATGCAATAGTCATGCAGCCATATACAACGCGCCTCGGACAAACATGGTCATGACACCATCTCATCCCACACGAATGTACTCTTAATGCCACTCTTAACACTTAATTGATTTGCATTATATCCCTTAAGCACTGATTGCTTTAATCCAGCTGTATGCAACATTCTAATGGCGGTTCTCTACCATCCTTCTCACCTCCTTCCTTCTCTTTCTTATCCCTTTCTCCTTTCACGTCGTTATAAATTGAGCTTCAGTTTCTCTTCTCATCCCACAAGTCTCCTACTTTCATCCTTTTACTATGGCTTCCTCTACTCTCTTGCTTTCTTTACTCTTCGCCTCTTTGGTCATTTCCTCTTCTGCTGCTGCTGCTGCTCCTAACTTCTTCCAAACAACTGACATTACGTGGGGAGATGGCCGCGCTCAGGTTCTCGACAATGGCGACCTTCTTACTCTTTCCCTAGACAAAGCCACTGGCTCTGGTTTTCAGTCCATAAATGAGTATTTGTTTGGAAAGATCGATATGCAAATCAAGCTCGTTTCTGGCAACTCTGCTGGAACTGTCACTGCATACTACGTATGTTCATTTCATTTCATTTCATTTACTCAATGCTCTCTTTCTTTTCAATCCAATTCTTACCGATTTTGTTTCTGAATTTGCAGTTGCGTTCAGAAGGGTCGGCGTGGGATGAAATAGATTTCGAGTTTTTGGGCAATCTGAGCGGCGATCCTTACATAGTTCACACCAATGTGTTCAGCCAAGGAAAGGGCAACAGAGAGCAACAGTTCTATCTCT